GTTGCTGCGGGACTCAGTGCGCAGCAGAGTAAATGCTTGGCATTACTTGGTATTAGTTGGTGGGCTTTGGGCTTCAAGGTTCCAAGAGGCTGGGAGGGCTATGGGGTGGTCCGGGGCAGCCACGAGGTAAGGTTAGCGTTACGAATGACAGGACGGGAGATGTGACGGAGTCGCGATGTGAGGCGCGTTGAGATAAATGTTATGACGAGAGACGGAGACGTGACAAAGGACGTGACCAAAGACGTGATCAGAGACGTGACGCGAGGGGCGACGACGCACGTGACAGGAGACGTCTCCAAGAAAGATGCTACGTAGTCGCGATGAGAGGCGCGTCGAGACATGTGATGAAAGATGTGATGATGAAAGATGTGATGAAAGTCATGACGAGAGACGTGGCCAGAGTTGTTACAAGAGACCTGTCAAGGGACGTGACCAAAAGCGTGACCAGCTACGTGACAATATATGTGACAAGAAACGCTACGTGAGACGCGACAAAGGACGTGACCAAAGACGTGACTCAGAGACGTGAACAGAAAAAAAAGAGAGACGTGACAAGAGACGCTGTTACGAGAAACCTGACAAGGGGCATGACCAGAGACGTGACTCGAGACGCCACCAGAGACGTGAATACACAAAAAAGAGGCATAGCCAGATACTCTACGTGGATAAATGTCATAAGAGACGTGTGAGGCGAGACGTGACGAGATGGACCAGAGACGTGACGAGAGATGTGACAAGAGACGTGTGAAAAGAGACGCGCCGAGGGTTGTGACGAGAGACGTGACCAGAGACGTGAAGCGAGGGCCGCCGACTCATGCGTGACAAGAGACGTGACGAGAGTCGCCAAGAAAGACGCGGCGGAAACGCGACGGAATCGTGACGACAGGCGCGGCGAGACACGTGATGAAAGACCAGAGACGCGACGCGAGGGGTGACGACTCACATGACAAGAGACATGACGGGAGTTGCCAAGAAAGACGTGATGGGAGACGTGACAGAGTCGTGACGAGAGGCGGCGAGACACATGCTGAAAGGTTTGACGAAAGTCATGACGAGAGACGTGGCCAGAGTTGCTACGAGAGACGTGACAAATGACGTGACCAAAGGCGCGACTAGAGACGTGACCAGAGACGTGACTATAGAAACGTGACTAGTCGCGACGCGAGATGTGACAAGAGTCCGCTTTCGTGTCCGCATTCGGGTTCGTGGCTTCTTTCAGGTTTTTAGTTGTATTTTTGTATACATGTCTTGGAACAAGGAGCAATTAAAACACAGAAACCATCTAAGGGGATGGCTCCATCGCTGCTGGCTGTGGTTCCAAAGTCGGGGAACCCCCAAAATGGGTCGCCATGGAACCTACATGGGGCCAAGGACTACCTCCAGTCCATAATGGAGCCACGGCCTACCTCCAGTCCATGTCCTGGTTAAGGTTTGACCAATGAAACCTAAATGGAGCCAAGGACTACCTCCGGTCCATATGCTGGTTAGTTGCCTAAATGGAGCCCAGGACTACCTCCGGTTCATATGCTGGTTAGTTACCTAAATGGAGCCCAGGACTACCTCCAGTCCATATCCTGGTTGGTTGCCTAAATCGAGCCAATTACTACCTCCGATCCATATGCTGGTTAGTTACTTAAATGGAGCCCAGGACTACCTCCGGTCCATATTCTAGTTAGTTAGTTGCCTAAATGGAGCCTAGGACTACCTCCGGTCCATATCCTGGTTCGTTACCAAAATGGAGCCAAGGACTACCTCCGGTCCATATCCTGCTTAGTTACCAAAATGGAGCCAAGGACTACCTCCGGTCCATATCCTAGTTAGTTAGTTGCCTAAATGGAGCCCAGGACTACCTCCGGTCCATATCCTGGTTGGTTGCCTAAATGGAGCCCAGGACTACCTCCGGTTCATATCCTGGTTAGTTAGTTGCTTAAATGGAGCCCAGGACTACCTCCGGTTCATATCCTGGTTAGTTAGTTGCTTAAATGGAGCCCAGGACTACCTCCGGTCCACATCCTGGTTAGTTTTCTAAATGGAGCCCAGGACTACCTCCGGTCCATATCCTGGTTTGTTACCTAAATGGAGCCAATGACTGCCTCCATATCCTGGTTAGTTAGTTGCCTAAATGGAGCCCAGGACTACCTCCGGTCCACATCCTGGTTAGTTTTCTAAATGGAGCCCAGGACTACCTCAGGTCCATATCCTGGTTGGTCCATATCCTGGTTAAATGGAGCCCAGGACTACCTCCGGGTCCATATCCTGTTAGTTACCTAAATGGAGCCCAGGACTACCTCCGGTCCACATCCTGGTTAGTTTTCTAAATGGAGCCCAGGACTACCTCCGGTCCATATCCTGGTTGGTACATATCCTGGTTAAATGGAGCCCAGGACTACCTCCGGGTCCATATCCTGTTAGATACCTAAATGGAGCCCAGGACTACCTCCGGTCCACATCCTGGTTAGTTTTCTAAATGGAGCCCAGGACTACCTCCGGTCCATATCCTGGTTGGTCCATATCCTGGTTAAATGGAGCCCAGGACTACCTCCGGGTCCATATCCTGTTAGTTACCTAAATGGAGCCCAGGACTACCTCCGGTCCATATCCTGGTTAGTTTTCTAAATGGAGCCAAGGACTACCTCCGGTTCATATCCTGGTCCGGTCCATATCCTGGTTACTTACGTAAATGGAGCCATGGACTACCTCGAGTCCATATCTTGGTTTGGTTTTGACCCATACCCTCCAAGCCCCACCTACGCCCACCCACCAACCGTGCAACACTCTTTTGCCACGCAACATCGTCGCACGGCTTCCGCCCTCGGGGCTGGAAGTCGGCGGTGCGCTGCTGGCACGTCGGGGCTTCCTCCTCTTCATTGCTGCAACGACCCTGCCAAAAGTTCTTCACTTTTGCGGGGGTTTAATGAAAAACGTCTGCAAAAATATTTAAACTGTTTGAGGGGTTCATGGAAAACACCCTTAGATTTCAACCAAAAAGATAAAGTCTAAAGATCCGTTGCCCAATAGCAGTCAAGATAAAGGGAAACAAACAAATTGGTGGGGGGCCAACACCCTCTTTTGACCCATACCCATTGACTGGGCAGTCAAGTCCTGGGGCTCTCTGGAAAGGAAATGTACTCTTCCACGTCTATGAAGGTGGAGCGGTACCTCAGCCGTGCCATAAAGCACCTCATGTGGCTGTGGGTGAAAAGTCGGGTAACCCCAAAATGAGTTGCCCTGGTAAATGGAGCCAAGGACTAAAAGGTCCAATTCCTGGTGGTTGAATTTGACCCATACCCATGTGTACTTAAAGGGGCAGGGTATGCATAGAACACCTCATGTGTACATAAAGGGGCAGGGTACTTATTAAGTGGATAGTAACCATGGAGTTATGACCCACGAAAGCCGTGGTTATGTCTTCGTTCAGTGGGTTATAAGCTGACTAACCACTTACTAAGTACCCCGCCCCTTTAAGTAGTGCATCACATGCATAGATCATCTCAGCCTGAATGTCACCTGCTACTCGCCTCGCAATGCTGCCTGCTATCCCCGCCGAGGCTCAGGAGATTGAGCGCCATCTTTGCTTCAAAGAGGATGGGAAAGGGAACTGGAAGGCTGGCGCACCACGGCAGCCAAAAGCTGGAAAGCACACCCATGCACCAACATGAGGCCAAGCTTTGTCAAGCTCTCAACCCTCCAAACGCCCAGCATGACGCAAGGCCCCAAAGCAAAGCGCTCGGCCCTTTTTCTCGCAAGCCTCGTGCGAGCTTGAAGCCATGAAGCATATCCAGTCGTCCTTTTTTTGTTTGTTTCCTCTGTTTTTCTCTTTTTATGTAAGCGTTTCGTCTTTCCGGCTTGAACGCTCCCAGGTGAATGCCCGCCCATGACTTTGATTAAAACCCGGCCCTAAGGGCGGGCAGCTCGAACATGTCGCAATGGCGACTCAACGCCAATTGAGTCGCAATCAAAACCTGGTACTAAAATGGTCTACCCAGAACCATGTAAAGAAGGCGGCCGCAGCTATTTCTGGCTGGGATCGTCCCTTACTAACCTTCATCTACCCGGGTTTTGATTGTGGCTCAATTGATTTTTGTGCATGGCGCCTTGCGCCGCTTTACACCATGACCTTTCCAGACGTCGAACAAGCCTGGAGAAAATAAATGCCGCATTTGGGTAGATCAGGACGGATCATCCGCACAGCTTTCTTGACAGTATGTGCCAGAGAAGTGATCAAAGCTTTGATACGGACGCGCCGCAAGCTGATGCGACCCTCTAGTACTTGAATTCCTGCAGGAAAAGTGTGCCGAGCCCCTAGAATCAATGAGCAGGCAAGAAGTGCCTGCTTTCAAATCTTTCTACCGGCTGCGCATGGCTCCGGAGTTCAAGTATCCAATGACGAGCTTCCTTCAGATCTTTCCATTGGCTCCGCATGCAAAGTGAGGCTGAAGGTGACATGACGAGCGTTGTCCAAAGTTCTAGGGGACTCGGCATGTTTAGGCCGGACTCCCCCAAAATGGCTTCGGTTTTCCGGCAAACCTGAGCCTTCCATTTCCGTTCTGACCCAGGGATCGGAATCTTTCGAGAAAACCATCCGCACCCAGGTTGGAAACAGCGATCGGTTTTTGAGAAAAGAGCGATGGTTGAAAATAATGGACAAGGAATCAACCCCTAGAAAAGTCTCACACCAGACCAGGCGAGTCCCGAGCTCACCAACCAAAAGGGTAAAATTTTCTGCTTGGGGCCTGTGTGGATGCTCCGAAATAAAGCGAGCAAAGGGGCCAAATTTATCGAAACTTACAATGGGTTGGAGTTGACCTGAGAAATGCCACCCCCACTAACAGCGACAGGATTGGTTCCAGGATCCCCACTCAAAGCAACAACCTATCGAAGAAAGGCCCTCCAGTAGAGAGGTTAGAATAAGGGTACCCTGTTTCAGTTTTGTCTATTCTAGTAGGGGAACCCTCCCCCAAAAAAGAGTGAGAAAAGGCACTGCGGGACCTAGAAAGCAAAACCCTCGAGGGAAGAAACAAAAACACGCACCGCTGGTCTCCGTGTTCCTTCCGCTTGCGCCGTCTTGAGATGAAGCGGGGCGAGGAACGAGTCTCTGGGCGCTGGATATCGGTAGGAACACGAGAAATCCGTAAGAACGCACCATAACGCACCGCCTCCCAACGGAATGAGTGGTTTCCCCCAAAGTTTTAAGGCTTAGGGTTTAGGGTTTAGGGATTCTAAACTCCACACCCTAAACCCTAAACCAAGAGCAAGAGAGTTTCCCTATGGTTTCAAAGTGGTGAAAGAACGGATTTCGCCACCATCCACAGCTTTGGGACTGCGTGGGCAACCGGTTGCCCTGCTGGCCGTTTGGGTTCTGTGGACTGGGAGACTCCAAGACTTGGGCGAAGGAATTCACCCAAAACTTGGGCTAGGGTCGGCACATGACGTTTCAAAATAGGAACCGGATCTCCCAAATGATCAATGTCTTTGTTTCCCCCCAAAAAAAAACAAAGACTTGGCATCCCATCCGCCTTTGACCGCCGGATCCACGCATTCCACGCACGCCTGGCCGACTCAAATGGGGTGAGGCCCGAGAGCCATTTGTTTGCACCGCGCTGGCTCCATTGTTCTGGGTTGATCCAAGCCCCTAACGTTTTGTAGGCTTGATGGAACAGCTATCCATTTCTGGGCTGTCCTCAGATCCACTAAAAATTCTCAACTTTCAGTTCCATGGGGTTTCCACCGGCAAACCAACTAAAAAGCGAAAAGTGTCACAGGATGACTGAGACCAAGAGTTGTTTCCAAAAGGTCTAGGGGCGATTCATTCATACTGCCGATAGTCGCGAAATCCATTTCGCACCACTTTGAAACCATAGGAAACCATAATCTTCGTTGGTATTTACAGGGGAATCATCCTTCTACCGTTTCTTGGGTGGTGTAGGATTTCGTCCATCCACAGTAAGACCAGCCATGCATTCACCATTGAAGCCACCCACTTGGCCCAGGGCCCGGCCAAACTGCAGCCCTTCGATGTGCTAAGCTAAGTGGTCACGTCTTACCCATATATAGCTTGTATTTCTCCACATGTGTACTGACATTGCATGCTGGGCCCAACACCGAAGTCCAATGGCCATGGGTCATAACCTATGCCTCCATTATGGGGCGGATGAACACCCATGTACCACCTATGTTGATGTTCACCAGGGGTACAGGGCCTTGACCCATAGCCAATATTACATGCTGGGCCCAACACCTCACAGTCCAATTCCCCCCGTTCTATTGTGCAGCCCCACAATGTGAATTGACTATCTTTCGGTTGGCAGCTTGTATGTACGTTACCGGAGATCATTCTGCAACGGAGCGGAAACGATGAACAAACCCGATCCAGAGCACTTGAAACGCTCCCCGATTCTTGTCCAGGTTGATCTAAACCGGGGTCGACATTGAACAGCATATCGAGCTCCGGTGCAACCATGGTTGCATTCGTGACCTAAAACTTCCACAAGCCTCAGCCAAACCTTAAGTGTTGCCTTTGTGAGGTGTTTCCAGGGTAATGTCCCATTTCTCGAGAACCAGGCCTTCAACGAACTGAAGGGTTGCCTGAAACTGAAGATGTTTCAAGCAGACTGCAGCGCCCAAAGGCGAAGACATTACCAGAAGAAGAAAAAAAACGGCAAGAACACGCCTACGCCCGGAGCAGTGAAGCCTACGCCTTTTTCAGAGGGTGCCTGAACTTGACTGGACTAACCATCAATTCCATCCGGGCAAGCATCACTATCTTCCATTTGCTTAAGATAAACATATTTCCAGCAGTGATCGAGTCTGTTAAAACCAACAGGGGAAAGTAACAAATATTCTTAAACAAATAGAAGAAGGGCACCTTGAAGTACTTTCGGGTACCCCTTTTTGGTTGCAAAAAAAACACCACAACTTTGGGGGATCCACTAAAAAAGACTCACCCACATATGTATTTATCTATTTAGTTGTGTCTTTATCGATTCCCCGGTACCAAACACACGGTGATAGGCAAAGGCAGGAGGGTCCCGGACGGTACTTCATGAGGATGGCCTAAACGGGGGGTAAAAAGGGGTCCTTAGAGTACCTCCCTAAGGTACTTGGAGCCTCTGGGTTTGGAAAAAATAGATGAGCTTCCCTGGTAAATGAGGCATAAAACCAATCTAAACCAGTGGAACCCATCTATTTCTAACCAATCCAACCGATCAAAAGGATGCCTATGTTCCCTGTTGGTTGCTTTCGGGAAATTACGCAATACTTCTGCGCTATCTTGAGCACCAGACCTACCAGCTGTAAACAGCCGTTGGTCAACCATGGAACAAGTGACTGTCGCCCTCACAAGGCTTCACTCTTGCGGAGCACCTGTCCAGCCGCGCACGGACAGCTTACGAGACTCCATCCACTGTTTGAGACTGGTCTCAAGCGGGGTGCAGACAGATTTACAAGGCGCGATGACGGAGAGATCTGAAGAACGCTGAGGATCCCAGGCTGAGCTGACACACTTTCCACCTGTGGCGGGTGTTCCCGTTCCCGAAATCTAGTCTGAAGATGGTCGGATTTGACCACGCCCATCTTCAAGGTCCCTGAGATAGTCCCTTTAAAAAAAAAAAAAACCTTCACCCAAAAACAGACATACATACATATATATATATATATGCCTGGACCCTGCAACGATGGTTTTTTCCAGTCTCCCCTGAAAATTTGACGCAGCACGCAGCACCCCTGAAAACATGACACGCAAGCAGCAAAAAACAATGCGAAAGCAACGCAACATGACGACAAAGTTGTGTCATGGAGCTGCTGCGTTTTTGGTCTTCGCCTGAAAAACGTGAAAGCCAAACAAAAAAGTCTTTTGGGGGGTCCAGGTATATATTATATTCCCAGAGGAAGCTAGTCTTCCAGGGGCATGTGCACCAAACCATGTGTCTTTGGAAAAATGACAAGCCATCGCGGGGCAACAGGGGCAAACTCGACTAGTTTGGTGTTAGTGGAAAGTGTCATTTGGACGTTAGGGGGTACCTTCCCCATTTGCCGCAAAAGGAACTGAGGTTCAAAGCCCCAAATCCGAACCAGAAAGTGGGAACACTACTGTGGATGCACGAAATCCTGCACCACCCAAGAAACCCTAGAATGATTCGCTTCCCCAACGTAAATACCAACAAACCATGGTTTCAACCATGGTTTCCAAGTGGTGCGAAATGGATTTCGCAACCATCCACAGTATCATAGCACCAACAAATAACCTCCAAAAGTGGCGGTTCCAAATCTTTGCCCACGCGCAATACCCGCCTTGCAGAGACACACAAAGTTGAACTGCTGCTTCCTTGGCTGGTTGGGCCAAGGGTAGGGCCAACGTATGTCTCAGTCAAAACGGTCCAAGTACCTTCTAAGGAGGTACTTAGACCCCTTTTTACCCCCCAAAAGCCATCCTCATGAAGTACTTGGACGGTATGAGGTGTTCCACCACAGTTGGGCCTTGTCCAAACACCCCCTGCTTCAACCACTTCAGTCTGGCTCCCGGACTGGGTTACTACCAGGTTCTGACTGTTCCAACCAGCTTGTGGTGCCTTCGACGAATTTCAGGTTTCCAGTGCCCCATATCCATTACGCCCAAAAATCTAAGAGGATATATATATGTATACACTATATATACAAATACAGATATATATATATATATATTATATTATATATATATATATCTATACAAATGGGGAGAGCGCGAAATAAGAGCGGAAAACTATTAGCCACTAAGAGCGGAAAACTGAAAGCAACTAAGAGCGGAAAAAAA